GTATGCCATAAACATTGCTCCATTTTAACATGAACAGACACATTCCAATAAACAATATCTTCACTCAGAATATGTTAAAAAGTCAAATTAGAGTTTGGCAATTATACAGTGATACAGAAGGTTTGCCCGACAAGTTGTAGAACATACATAGACCCTGCACCTGTACACATGTATTATAAATATATATCTTTTTTGTAATAAAATTGAAAAGGTATTGGTTTTTGAAATCAAAATTTTACGAAAACGTATGTGCAGTACGTTGACAACCTTGACACACACACGGTGTTTGAAATACTTAAACCAAAATTAAAATTGTAGAGTGGAGAAAAATGAGTTTACGGCTTGCCCACCTGAAGTGCCAGAAAAGCGTCCCCGTCAGCTTGACCTGGCAGTTGTATCAAACACGGACTTGACGTCAGAGAAAAACAGTAACATTAAATTGCTGTCTTTCTGTTCTTAATTTGTTAATTCGCACAGGGACTCGTTGCTTTGCTTTAGAGATACATGTACCATTTGGTGGTAAGTGCTTTTTTTTTTTTTTTTTTTTTTTTTTTGAAAATGTTGTAAAGTGTAATTAAAACGTTTTTATCACAAAGGAACCCTTTTACGAACATGTTATTATAGTGTTTATAAAGCTAACATGTTGTAAGAGGGTGTTGCACATTTATAAAATATGATGCCCATTTGATGATATTCACTTGCTTAAATGGAGATTCATGAGGATCGAAAAAAGGAGGAGAAAAATAGCACTAGACAGAAAAAGATAATGTGCATCAATGAGTCAAAGGAAGGCTGTTGGTCCTATTACAAGTTCCCACCATCAACCGTGTTTGTTTTTTTTTTTTTTTTTTTAAATTTTTGGTGTGGTTTAGTTTTAAACACATGGCATTTCAAATATGCTACGGGAGGGAGGGAGGGAGGGGTATTTGTGGTTTTAAGAAATTGCTGTCTGTTCAAATTGTGCTAGTTGCGCCTAGCGAGCATTTTCGAGTTGCAACAGTTGTGTTCGAAAACGCTCTTTATTTTAAAATTTCTTTGCTGGTTGATGATAAAACTACGCACGGGAACAGATGAGGGGAGACAACATTGCTTTATTTGAAGTAATAAACCAACCAAATATTATTGACAATTTCGAATATGTTGATACAACCAGTTCATATTCTCAAATATAGCACTCACTGTCACGAACCACCTTGGAGAAAAATAACAATTGATATTTATATTTCTTTTCACCTTTTTGTTATCTCTGTGAAGTTCCCATTTTACACCTGTCCATTCCTTTGTGTTTTCACAAACATTTTCCGTGTCTGAACCTTGTTTGTATTCATATTCCACAACTTTAGGTTCCTCCTCACTTGCAATTTGTTTTATCTCTACTTCAGTTAATTTGTCTCTGTTGGTATCTTTAAGATAAGAAATTTCCATTGGTTCACCTTCAAGTCCTTCGTCAGCATTCTTTACATAATCTCTTACATCCCTTTCAACTACACCATGTTTCTCCTCATTCAGGTCATCATCATGAAGTCCTTCATCAGTATTCTTTACATCATCTGTTAAAGCCTTTTTAACTACATCAACCCAGCTGGAAAATTATGTTGTTTTAACGTTGAAACAACGTTGAACCATAACGTTGATAAGACATTGGATAAACGTTGGATTTGAAAGTTGGATCAACGCCAGATAACAACATTGTATCAACCCCAGTTGTTAGACAACATTCTTGCATGAAAAGACATTAAAATGACCTGAAATGTTTTTATTTTTGGTACAAAACACAGGTACACAATTATAACGTACACTGTAAAAACATTCAAGTGCCTGCTTTGTCTGATTTTTTCAACGCAATTAGCTCCTAAGCATGTGTTGCACCTAAGCATGGTACACCCTTTAAGCCTGGATGTGTTTAGCAGTAGGACATGTTTGATGGTTAAATTTATGCAGGGTATATATGTATGGCCTTTAAGTTAGGATTTCCAAGGTTTAGTTATAAAGGATATATATATATATATATATATATATATATATATATATATATATATATATATATATAACAAAGTCACACAGTAATATCAACCTATAACAGGGTACTGAGGACTGTCAACTTATTCATCCTAGTGTTAGTATTCATCCTAGTGTCCATCCTAGTTTTAGTATTCATCCTAGTGTTAGCTGACCTTGCAAGGAAGTTTATTGAAATGTATTTCTGAATCACAAGTTAAGAAAATTCACTAGTTCACTAAAGACACAAAACAACTGTCACTTTTACTTTAAAAACTTTTTTATTATTTTGATAAAGTTAGCTACAGTATTGATAAACAAAGTATCACGTTTTCAATAATTAATATTTTAAATTACAATCCATGTCTTGCATCACGACGACCAAACAACAACGTTGAGTCAATGACCAAAATACAACGTTGAGTCAACGTCACATTATGACGGTGTTTTGACGTGGCTGGACCAACGTTGATTTCACGTAAAATTTAGGTAGATCAACGGCAATATCAACCTGTTTTCAACGTTGATCCAACGTCACTATGCCTGCTGGGAAGTTTCTCATCATATTTCAGTTCACCGATTCTACTCTCACTTCCGATTAATCCGTTGTCATCATCATCATCACTATCAGTTTCCATCACTAGCTCTTGTTCATAATCTTTCTCGACATACCCTTCACGTTTCTCCCCTTTCTTGAAATCAGTTCTCTTTTCTACCTCTTGATCATTTACAATCATAATGTCCTTGCTGAGTTCATTCCCATCATTTTCCTCACCTACCGTTACATCATGGTCGTTTACAAACTTCATCTGATTCATACATTCATCATCATTAGCCGTAGTCAGTGTCTCGTCATTAGTTCCCTTCTCCATTTCTAATAATTCATCTACTTTGCCTTGGTTTCTTTCTTTAATTACTTGTTCTGGTTTCATTACAGATTCTGCAATAATGTCATTTTTGTTGCTCCAAACAGCAATATTGTCTCTGTAACAAGTCGGCCAGCTTAGATAGGCATTGTACAAGTCTGCCGTCAAAATTATAGTCCTTTTCATAATCCCAGTCATCCTCTTCATACCCATACTCATCTTCAAAGTTGGATCCATAACTATATTTCTCCCCCGCAGTGACCCTGGTCGAGCTCGCCATTATGTAGGGGTCCATGTACCTCCCTACCCAGGTTCTTCTAATATTTCACTTGTCGCTGATGCATGGGAAAGGGAATATTACCACAAACTCACATCTTCAGTTCCAACTCTAAAGCCCCCCTTATTGGGTCCAAACCTTCAGCATTTATACACATTATCTAAATGTAAATGTAAAATCATTTCTGTGCTCAATAAATTATTATTATTATTATTATTATTATTATTATTATTATTATTATTATTATTATATTTGATCCGCGGATCTATTATATATCATACTTTATCGAGTGAGCCCTGAAAGATGGCATGGCAACGCTGGGGTGCGCTAGCAATTTTTTTCGCTTAGCCAAATCACCACTTTTTTGTCAATTTGTTATCAAAATAGTTATAATTTGACTAAAACAAGTCATATCAAGCCTGTTTTCTTTAGACAATTAAGGCCAGTTTTAGCATATGGCTAAATTGGCGAGTGTTAGCGCTACCCCAGCATGGGTATCAAGAACGTGGTGTCCCCATGTCAACTTCATGGAGGAAAAGCAGCTAAGCCTCAGTACTAGTATTTGGCTTCAGCGTATGCCTATCCCCCTTTGGGAAGTGTGTAAGATGAGTCCGCCATAGTAATTTCCGATCATTTCGAAGGGCTCCGTCACCATCCACCAGATCTGCATTAGAACTTCTCACGAGCTGATTGCGTCCCCCTCCCCCCCCCNACACACACACACACACACTCCACACTGGTACACCGGCTGTAAAGCAGGCTGTATTTCCATGGCAAGTGCTAATTTCCCGTCAGTTGTAAGCTATATATATATTTACATGTAAAGTGATACATGTTTTACCGCCTTTACAATTAACCAAAATGTATAGTAAAGGCATTGATGAATTATGCTTTTCATATTCAGTGTACCGTTAGCTGTTCAATTATTCAGACATGTTCCCACTAACATCATTTTCGTGTAATGTGAGTTGTAGAATTGATGCGTGTCAAGAGTAGATAGACGTAGGCCTAAATTATTTAAAACACTATTAGCAAACAACTGAGGTTTAACATTCAACCAAAACAATCAATCCATTCCTTTTCATCTTTGTGGTAAGAGTTAGTGAAACTGAAGGTGGTACGTTCAGAAAACAGCATCACAGCCAAACCTTTTTTCTTGAATGGTCGACAATAACTGCTCTTCATCCATCCGTCTATTTCCTATTTTCTATGTATCAAAACTCGTTTTCCAGATAATATCATTGCATTTCTGTTCAATCCAGACCAAAAATCACCACCATCATCAATCTCCATTAAAAGTTTCCGCGTGATGTCAAAGTTTGATGTTGTTTTCACTATAACCCCTAAAATACATAGTAAGCAAAGTTTTGATGTCACCAGCTGACCATACTATGGACTGTCAGTGACAAAAAACTTATACGTTATTTTTGTAAAATTCGCCTGCAGTACCTTTAAGAAAATCCAATTAGTTTCATAACTTATAGAGAAATCCATCTGTAGGATTGGCATGCAATCCTCGTCCTTGCTTTCAAATCTGCCGTCATTATATAAATATCACTTGGGCTTTTTTTTCTGAAACATACGCCGCTCGTTGACAATGTAACACATCACCTGGCAGCCTTATCTACGCTGACGTAATGATTTCCCTGTAAACTACCATACAGTACTGGATACAGAAAACTTTTGAAGGCTCATCTCCAGACGGAATGAAATTGAGCTCAAATATTGAGCTTTGTGGTATGCAATTTTTTAAATCAACAAAAACCAGGGAGCATCAGGACCCCTTGTACAAGAAAGCTATGTGCCAGACACGGATTTGACGATCAAACAAAATAACAAAAATAAAAAAACTTGAAAATATGACTCTGGAGAATGTAACCCTCATGACCAGTAATGATGCACGGAACGATTCCTTGGACATTGCCATCCCTGTGAATGACCAAGGCTCGGCAAAAAATGGGACAATTGTGACGACTACAGAGGTATTAATTGCTGGGGCGCGTTTGGGTATGCTCCCAGTGTCCGTCATCGGTTTGTGCTGCAATCTATTAATCCTTCTTCTGGTCACTCTGAGAAAAGAGGTCAGAAAGCTTACAGTCTCCGTATACCTGTCAGCATTGGCCATTGCAGATTTTATTTTTTGCTTGGATATATTACGTTGGCATTTGGAATGGGCAGATATGATCCCGATGTCTTGGGGGGACATCTACTGCACCATTACCAATTTTCTCGGTCATTTTGCCACGGGACTCGCTCACTGGACTATTTTCTGTATCTCACTGGAAAGAATGACGCGGGTAGTTTTCCCTTTCAGAGCCAAGACGCTTTTGACGGTGAAACTTGCCAGGATCGTCGTTATCGTGTTTGTGTGTTGGTCCGCGCTACCCAATATTGCCCGCTTTGTTTTTGACCATCAAATCCCGTTGGATAACACTACGTGGATCTGCTGGACATTGCAAACCGATACCATAGGGCCGCTGTATCAGAACCTCGTGCGTATACTGATAGAAACGCCTCCGGTGTTTTTGGTCATCGTCATCAACTGTATCACGGTGGTCAAGCTGCGTGCTCACTGGTCAGAGATGAAAAAGATGGGTTTGAAGGAGCGGGACCAGAGGTGCCGCAGCGGTCTTCATTTGTCCCAGCAGGAGACGGCGCTGACTGTGACCCTGGTCGTCAACGGGATGCTGTTCGTCGTCTTGGAAACGCCTTATTTGGTCACGGAGTTCATGGTGCACTATCTGTCGTCAGAGGATATCAGTGAGCTGCATTTCGTTTTGGGCAATATATTTAAATTGGTCAGCGGCGTCGATCACACATGCAACTTTTTTGTTTATGTCATCGGTTCTGGGATGCTCCGACGTGAGTTTGGTGCCATTTTCTGCTGCAACAGATACGCTCCTGGCAAAGAGGGAAAGGCGCGCCAAAGCAGCCCTTTTGCGGGTCCTTCTTCGAAGTCCACTGACGAAATCCAAGGTAGCAGTTTCACTTTAGCGTCTGTGACCACTCATCCATCTCACTGTGGTTCGAGTAACGGGGACATGAATTTGCATGAAGGCAATACTGACAAATAACAGAACTATTCCAAAAAATACACTTACCTTTGTGAAATAAGCAAATAGGGGTCGTATGTCTGATTAATAAGTACAAACTCTTTTAAAGTAATTTTGAAGAGTTTGCTATTTCGCTCGAGCATATTTCCAGTTATCTTAAAACTATGTCCTCTACAAAATTTACATAATCACTTACTGTAGATACTTATATTTGTATGATAATTCAATTGAAATGATGATCTTTAAAAGGACATTTGTGTAATTAATGAATGCATGTACCTTGTAGTCTTTTGAAATAAGATGTTAGATCATAACAATTATAAGAAGCAGTCTAGTGTCGTTACGCGTATTTATTAATCTATTTCCTTCAGTTTTTACATCCTTTTTGGTGAAGCTAGTTCTTGGATAATTGTTCAGCGTGTCACAAATCCGCTTTTCTCTTTGACTGCTGAAGTGATCAAAATGCGAAAGAATAACGGCAAAAGATTATAAAACACCATTTAAATCATAATAAAGGCCTCTGAAAGTGAGTTCTCCCTTACGTATGTTAAAAAAAGTTCTCATAGAGACTACCCTTAGCAAAGTGCAAAGTTTGCAGCAAACTTGCAACAAATTTGCAGCAAATTTGCTGCATCCAAATAGTTTGCAAGAAACTGTTTGCATGTTGTTGCAAGAAAAATCACAGTTGTTGCAAATTTGCTGCAAATTTGCAGGAAGATTAAAAGTTTGCAAGTAGTTTGCAAGAAAACTATCATTTCTAGCGAATTCGCAGCAAATTTGCAAGAAAGCTTCTATTTTCTTGCAAATTTTCAGCAAATTTGCGAGAAGACCTTCATTTACATAAAAGTTTGCTGGAAGTTTGCAAGAAAGACTATACACTGTTGCAAATTTGCAGCAAATTTGCAAGAAACTGCTCATTTATATAAAAGCCTGAAGAAAGTTTGCTATGATAACTATACCTTGATGCAAATTTGCAGAAAATTTGCACAAAACCTTCATTTACATATCATTTTGCAGGAAGTTTCCAAGAAAGACTAACATTATTGCAAATGCAGCAAATTTGCAAGAAACTCCTCATTTACATAAAGGTTTGCAAGAAACTCAGCTTTATACACACCAAGTTAATTCATTTGCAACAAATTGCAAGAAATTGTTTCATGTTACACAAAAAAGTTTGCCTGAAATTTGCAAGAAAGTCCATACAGTACCTTTTATACTAATATACAGTTAGATTAATCATGTTTGCATCGTGTATGGGTATTTAGGAAATGCCTTTATCAAGCCAAAATATTAGTATTAAGTTAACAAAAAAGAAAAAAATCCAAGTTAACTAACAGTTTATGAAACTTAGAAATTTATGGGAATATAGTTTACGAGGAGTCTGAAGACACCTGAAGACACTTAGGCATTCGCTTATAGTTAAGGAGAAGTTTGCAAGAAGACATTTACTTAGTTTGCAACAAATTGTCAAGATAGTCAGCAGCCAACTTACAGTTTGCAAGATTTTAGCAAGAAACTTAGACAATTACAGTTTGCGAGAAGTTTGCAAGAAACTTGGACAATTACTTACAGTTCGCGATATGATTGCAAGAAACTTAGACATTAACTTGCAGTTCACGAGAGGTTTGCAAGAAACTTACACAATTACAGTTCGTGATAAGTTTGCAAGAAACTTAGACATTAACTTACAGTTTGCGAGAAGTTTGCAAGAAACTTAGACAATTACTTACAGTTTGCGAGAAGTTTGCAAGAAACTTAGACAATTACTTATAGTTTGCGAGAAGTTTGCAAGAAACTTAGACAATTACTTACAGTTCACAAGAAGTTTGCAAGAAACTTAGACATTAACACAGTTTGCAAGAAGTTTGCAAAATTAAAAATAAAAAAGGCCATTTGCTTACAGTTTACAAAGAACTTATGAAAATAGAAATTTACTTGTTTTTAGAAGTTAGCAAGATATACGCATTTAAAAACTTCTTTTCCATTCCCGAAACCATCCTTACTCACACTAACAAAATTGTACTAAAACAAACAGTTCATGTACAGTTATGGATTTGGCCCACTTTTTGGCCAAATTTATTTATTTGCATAACGCCACATAAAAAAAAATAGTTCCAAAGGCTAATATAAATTATTATTAATTTATTATAACATTTGTATTTAATATAATTAAAGTTCCTTGTATTATAATCAAATTAATACTTTGATTTACTGCTTAAAAACCAAGTAACAAGGATGATGTTTAGATTTGATAGGGTTTTCATGGTTTAGGCAGATTTGGAGCAATACTGAATTATGATGTAACCCACCAACTATCAATGGACATAAAAATTCAACACTTCAGGGGATGACATTCCTGAGAAGTACTTCTTAAAAACAAATAAACTGTTTAGCCCAGGGTGAGTTGGCAAGCAGTGTCAACTGATAAGCATGATATCACTTAACTGACTCCCTGTTATTGCATGGGCAGTGGCAAACAGAAAAATGAGCAACATACTAAGGTGCACTGTCAAATTATTACCAGGGTAAATTTGTTTGTCACCTGGGTCATCACAGGTATCTCCATTGAAATCATCATCCCCATCTTCACTGTCACCATGTTCATCATCACAGTGCACGTCATTACTCAACTCTTCTTCGCTATAAGAGGAGTTAGGACCACAGTTTTTTTTTTTTTTTTTTTTTTTTTTTTTTTTGCCATTGTCATTTTCACAAACTTTTTCTATTAGCTGTGTTATTGTGTCAGATATGTCACCTATAGCTGTTGCTTCACTATGTTCACCATCACAGTGCACTTCCTTACTCAACTCTTATTCGCTGTAAGAGGAGTTAGGACCACAGTTTTCTCTGCCATTGTCATTTTCACAAACTTCTATTAATTGTGTTATTGTGTCAGATATGTCACATATTGCTGTTGCTTCAATATTCTGTACATCCAACTCTTTGGCATTCTCAGGATAAAGTCTTTATCTTTTGGGTTTCCCTCTACCAAGTTGGTCAGCCATCTTGTCTAAAATAAATAAGAAAAAAGAATTATGAAAAACACATGTCACAATAAGCCTAGATTGATCAATTTTATTATAACAGGTCTCATAATTTAAAAAAAGGATGTACATTTTCAGTCCCCATTTTCTATAGATTACTAAGTAGCATTGTATTCAACGCAGAAAGACTCTCATGTCATGATATAGCACCTATAGTAGGCTTGTTAAGGACCAAAAAATGGCCAAACGCTACATTTTGTAGTACAAATGTCTAACTTGGCATGAATGTTTCTTGGGCCAAAACAATTTTTTTATCCAAAGAGACACGCTATATCGATGCATATATTAGCATAAATTATGCAAATTAGTTACCAAAATATACAATTTTTCATATTTCCAATTTTTCATATTTCCCATTTTTTGTCTAAAACATGTAAAGATCACCAAACTTGACTAATTAAAAGGGACAAGGAACACATTTTACTATTATGGAAGCAATTGGAGGCCATTTTGTGCCTCAAATCCAAGTTGGCCAAAATGGAAAAACGGTTAAATAGGCCAAAATCGTTGCTCTATTTTAACATCAACAGTCACATTCCATCAAGCAATTAAAAATAAAAACCCAATCACCCTGATTTTTACAAGGAACCTGTACCCTTTACTAAAAACAAGCCACTGAGAACATCTTAAATAAATACTAATTACAGTTTGGCAATTATATAGGGTGTACAAAGACTGTGCCGGAACTCCACGGTAACAACAATGTCAGACAAAGTGCAGAATATTCATGCATATATGGACATTTCGCCTGTATGTATATACAAAAAAAATGTGATTAAGAAGAAACCATTGAACCGCAACATGTCACTTACATTTATATGTATGTAAGACAAGTATGTTTTTTTATCAGAATGTTAACAAAACTTATGCGCGGTGCATTGATAACCCCACCCCACCCCCACCCACACACTTACACACACACATACACACTGCTTAATTTTTTTAATTGAAATCAAAAGTGTAAATTGAGTTGCCTGACAGGTAAAGTGCCTGAAAAGCGTCCCCGTCAACTTGACCTGGCAGTTATAGCAAACACGGACGTGGCGTCAAAGAAAAACAATAACATTAAATTGCTGTCGTTTTTTTTTCTCAGTTTGTTACTTCGCACAGGGACTCATTACTTTAACAACACCTTATGGTTGTTAGTGCTTGAAAATTTTTGGAAATGATGTAAGGTGTAATTAAAACTTTTATCACAAAAATCCATTTACGAACATGTTTTTATAGTTTTTAAAAAGGCAAACATGTTGTAAGAGATTGTGGCATATTTGTATACATAGGCATATTTGTGTGGCATATTTGTTAACGATGATTTGATGATATTCACTTGCTCCAATGAAGAGTCCTTCGAATCGAAAAAAGGAGAAAAATAGCACTCGATAGAAGAATAAAATGTGCATGAATGTTTCAAAGAAGGGCTGTTTGCCCCATTACATGTACCAAATATCAACCATATATTTTTGCTATAGGTGTGGTTTAATAAGAAACACCTGGCATTTCAAATACGCTACGGGATAGGGGGTATCTGTGGCCAATGAGAAATTTCTGTTTGTTCAAATTGTGTTAGTTGCGTCTAGCGAGCATTTTCGAGTTGTGACAGCTGTGTTCGAAAAATCTTCACCTTTTACAATGTCTATGTCAGTATGTGGGTTTATCGCGCGGTTAAAACTACGCACGGGAATAGATAAGTGGAAACACCATTGCTTTATTTAAAGTAATAAACCGACATGATTATTATCGACAATTTCCAATATATAAGTGTTAGCAGCAACCAGTTCATATTCTCAAATATAACACTCACTGTTACGAAACACCGTGGAGTTAAGTGACAATTGATATTTAAACAAAACAGTAATTACTCAGTTCAACTCTTTCAATTTTGTAACGCCTAAAATCTTATTTTACTGTCCTTCCTTCTCTCAATATATTAGATTTAGAAAACAATGTAGATTTTGGTCTGATATAAGACCTAGATGG